GACAAAAGCACAACCAATACAGGCATATGCTTGCAATATACACCATCACTACAACTAAAAACACCACCACTACAGCAACATACACCACCAATACAGACAAAAACACAACCAATACAGGAATATACTAGCAATATACACCATCACTACAACCAAAACATCTTTGCTACAGTCAAAAAAAAACGTCTCTGCAGCCAAAAACATCATCACTACAACCATAAACACCATTGCTACAGCCAAAAACACCACTACAGCCATATACACCATCACTACAGCCAAAAACACCAATGATGCAGCCAAAAACACAACCTCCACAGCAATATACACCATTACTACAACCAAAAACACCATCACTAAATCAAAAAACACAACCACTACAGACCAAAACACCATCCCTACAAACAAAACACCATCACTAAATCACAAACACAGCTGCAGCAAAAAAAAAAAAAAATCATTATAACATACAAAAATATACAAGCACAGCCCAAAACACCACCAGTACAGTATGAACACCACCACTACTGACAAAAACACATCACTAGAGCCAAATCATCATCATTACAACAAAAAACACCTCAAGCACAGAAATAAACACCATCAATACAACTAAAAACAACATCACTACAGCAAAACAACATCATTGCAGCCAAAAACACCATCATTACAGCCAAAAAAACCATCACTACACCCTAAAACACCATCACTACAGAAATATACACCATCATTACAACCAAAATTACTTGTACTAAAGCAATATACACCAACACTACAACCCAAAACACCACCACTAGAGTCAAAACCACCACCACTACAGCCAAAAATATGACTAATACAACAACACCACAACCACAGCCAAAAACACCATCGCAGCCAAAAAAATTGCTAAAGCCAAAAACACCACCACTGCCAATAAACACCACTACAGCAATTTACACCATCACTACAACTCAAAACACCATCGCTACAGCCAAAACACCAATTTACACCATCATTACAGCCAAAACATCATCCCTACAACCTCAAAAACCATCAATAAAGCAAAAACACAACAGCACAAAAACTCCACCTGTGCATCCAAAACGAAATTTCTACAAGCAAAAACACTAAACACAACAGCCCAAAACTCCAGAACTACAGCCCAAAACACAACAGCCTAAAAACACCATCACTAGCCAAAAAAATCTCTCCAGCCAAAAACACCATCACTACAGCAAAAAAAACTCAAGAGCATAAAGCACCACCATAAAAAACACCAACCAGGCTTTTTACAAACCAGAGCCAAGATTAACAATTAACCAAATCAGTCCACAAAAACAACCTGATGTAAACAACAAATCTGCTTGACCTTGATGAATAAGAAACTTGGAGTTATTCTGATTATTTTATGAGATTAATTATTGCTTAAAACCAAATAAGAAAGCATGTTAGCACTAAAAACTCAGCTGCACTCATAGACTAGACATGAGACGATAACCCATTTCAAGGTTTATTACGGTTTAGAGAAGTCAACGTTTTAAAACCACTAAATGTTTCTGTTATATCATTCCTACAATATATGCAAGTATGTAGTTTGCCTTATTTAGAACTCTCATGGTTTTTGGAGGTATAAAAGTGACTGTATTTTACCTCCGTCAGCATGATTAGACCCAGGAAGAATGAAGCTATGGACATGCCCAGGATGAGCAGCTCTCTCCGGTAGCCCACGCGGAAGGTTTTAGGGTACATATCCACAATGGCCGTCACAAGACTCTCCACACACACAAACTAAACACAGAGAGCACAGCAGCGTTGATATTTTCACATTACTTTCTTTCATAACACAGTAACAATCATGAAGTATCCATATTTTTAATAGTGTTTGTAAAAGAAAAAAGTTGAAGACCTCCTGTGAAATTTATAGCTATTTTTCTAATACTTCTCAGTTTCAAGATTTTTTCCAACACATATTTTTAATTATGATAGTTTTAATAACTTATTTTATAGTCTTTGTCATGATGACAGTACATAATATTTGACTAGTTATTTTGCAAGATAGTATTCAGCTTAAAGTGACTTTTAAAGGCTTAACTAGGTTAACTAGACAAGTTAAGCTAATTGTCATTAGACAACAGTGGTTTGTTCTGAAGACAATCAAATATATAATTCCCTAAAGGTGCCGTGAAGTGCTTTGAAATGTGCATTTTTATTCAATGTTTACATAATCTCAACTAAAAAAAGATGAAAGGGTGGGATATACAGTAGCCCCTCCCCTTTTTAAATTGTAGCCAATAGCGTTTTGTTTTCATCACAGCTCTGCCAGTGAGAATGGTTGAGCTTAAGCGCATCAAATGAAAAGCAAATGAGAGCGTCTTAAAGGGGGCAGGGCTCGTCAGATACACGAGAGCATTTGATTGGTCAAAAGATTTGATTTAAAAAAAAAAAAACATTTATGCGGAAGTGAAGAACTACAAGCTTTACATTTATGTCTTTAATTTATGTCCTTAATACTAACAGACCGTAACTAACATTTAAAAATATATGTACTGATTTCATGGGACTTTAAGGGGGTTAATAATATGTTTAACAGGGTGCGTGCGACGTGTCTGAAGAGCGAGGAGGGATGCCAAGGGGAGAAGGGTACGCGACGTATTTGAGGACCGGGAGGGAGACGCGTGATTTCCGGTAGATTACGACTCGTTTGCTGGCATCCGGGAATCTCTGTGCATTTGCAGATAACTCCTGAATTTCCCGCCCTACTCATAATTTTCTCTTCATATAGCCGTATGCCTATTACATATCAATAAACCACTGTGATATAGCCGGGCTCGGAAACTATCACTTTCTCACTACAATCGATCCCCTCCAGAATTCGTTTCAATCGAGCCGAGACCACCTCATTCAGGCGATCTCGGACCAATTGATTTGGCGCATATCCGAGCGCGATTGCTGGTTTCACATATGCCAAACGAACCGCGCTAACTGGGCAAACGAGACAGATTCCAAAACAAAAGTCTTGGTGTGAAAGCACCCTCAAATGGTTCAACTTTGTTTGTTTTTTACGACACCCCACACTACAGTTTCTCATCAAATCCTAACCAATCAAATTCTCTCTAGTATCTCACATGCCCCTCCCCTTCTTCTCATTTGCTTTTCATTTGATGTGCTTGAGCTCAACCGCTCACTGGCAGAGCTGTGATATAACAAAACGCTATTGGCTGGTTTTTCACAAGGGGAGTTTCTATTCTGTGTCCCGCCTTCTCTTAATTTTTCAGTTGGGATTACGTCAGACATCGAATTAAAAAATAATCATTTCAAAGCAGGGACGACGCAGTGGCGCAGTAGGTAGTGCTGTCGCCCCACAGCAAGAAGGTCGCTGGTTCGAACCTTGGCTCAGTTGGTATTTCTGTGTGGCGTTTGCATGTTCTCCCTGCCGTCCGTGGGTTTCCTCCGGATGCTCCGGTTTCCCCCACAGTCCAAAGACATGAGCTACAGGTAAATTGGATAGGCTAAATCGTCCCTAGTGTAGGAGTGTGTGTGTGGATGTTTCCCAGAGATGGGTTGCTGATGGAAGGGCATCCGCTGCATAAAAAAAACTTGCTGGATAAGTTGGCGGTTCATTCCGCTGTGGCAACCCCGGATTAATAAAGGGACTAAGCCGACAAGAAAATGGATGAATGAATCATTTCAAAGCACTTCACAGGAGCTTTAATGCAAATGATTTATTTTTCATTGGCTCAAGTGATCAAATTTAGATGTGAATTGGATGAATGAAAGCTTTTGTCCAGTGTGTGTGAATGAACAGTGAATCACCTGACTGTCCAGTCCGAGGAAGATGAGCATCATGAAGAAGAGCGCAGCCCACAGCGGAGCCCACGGCATCATGGTCACAGCTTTAGGATACGCTATAAACGCTAGACCAGGACCTGAAGCACATTTCACAACAATATTAATGACACGACTACACCAACATGCAATCTGGAGTAGATAATGAGATTCTAAAAGGCAGTCATTGTAGTTAATTATATCTATTTCAATTTATTTAACCCTTGGTAAATAAATTGGGTCGTTTTCATCCACTCTGGCTTAATTTGGCCACAATGTTCTCTGTGTTTCAGCAAATGCAATGCTTTTTTGCAAACAAATCTTATTTTGACACATATTTTGGGGAAAATGCTTTGAAAATTTGCAAAAACTCAACAAGACACTCAGGGCGAGTTGACTCCCCTTTGGTTATGTTGGGGCTGTTTTTGCCCGATTAACTTCCATTACAATCTTATTTGTTATTGCAAAGTCATGACAGCATATTATCATGCATTCTTGATTGTTGCTGGTTTTCCTAGTTGGAAATAGCCAGCCTGATCTCACGAGAAAACGTAAGTATTTTACGTTTTGGCAGTTTTGTGGCTAATTCGTACGAATTCGTACGAGTTCAGTCGTAAGGAAATGTACGATTTTAAAAAGGAGGCGTGGCACCTAACCCCACCCCTAAACCTAACCGTCATTGGCGGATACACAAATCGTACTAAAATGTACGAAATAGATCGTACGAATTTGTAAGAATTAGCCACTAAATGAAAAAGTTACGAATTGCCGTGAGATTGTGTTGAAATAGCTGCAATAAAAAAAAAACATAAAATAACTAATGTTTATTTATTGATTGCTTCTTAATTTAAGAAGTTTTAGGTATTTAAACTAGAAACAAAATCTCCAAGCATGAAAAGCAGTGTGTTGAGTGGTGAAATCTGCCTGGAGAGCATGCATTATATCACACAAATGCCTCGCTCTGGAGGATAACGTTGGTGAAATGCTCCAGTGATGCTGCCATGTGTCTTGGCTCTGCTTTTACAGCACAGAGACACCTGTCCAAAACCAGCAGGACAAGAGCAGAGATCACTGCCATACAAACACTGTACAATCAGCTCACAAATTACAGAATAGGAGCTACAAGATCCTCATATTAAATCCTGTATATTAAAACCAAACCATTGTTTCTTGTTAATGTTTCTCTTTCTCAATAACACCCTTCAGTGCGTATTTCAGCCCCTTTTACAGTTGCTCTAGTGGTAAATAAGTAATGCTGAATTGTTGAATAAGTCATACAATAAAAAGCTTTTTCTGAGAAGTGCTTTAAACTGCATGAGTGGCTACTGTACTGCACATCTACTGTATGTCTCACGCATGCATTGCTTTTCTACATAAAGATGAAGCAGCATTTTAGAAATGAAGTGATGGTTTAATTGTCATCTTCAGCTCACCTGACTCTGCCACAGCCTCTATGGGCACGTTCTGTTCATACGCCATGAAGCCCAGGACAGAGAAGATGGCAAATCCTGCCACAAAACTGGTGCCACTGTTCAGGCAGCAGAGCATGAGGCAGTCTCTGCAAAACACAGGAGTGCATAAATATTCACCCCCCTTTAGACTCACTAGGTATATTTCCATCCACCGATTTTTATGAATTATTGCAAAAGGGAAAACTAAGAAACCTGATGTGCATAAATATTGAAATGTAGAGTATGCACACTAGTGAGGGGGATTCTGTGTAAAGAAAACATGATTTAGTGAATGAACTCTCTGCATGCGCTTCATCAGTGTGCGTGATGCGATTGAGTTTGAACAGATGATGATCAGATAAATCGTGAGAAAAAACAAATCAAGAGTTGAGTTTGTGCATATTTGACCCAACATTGGGTTACAAATAACCCAGGGTTTTTTTTTTTTTTAGAGGGCGGTTTCCAAATTGAAATGTCTCTCTGCTTTCTCCATGGGTGAGCTGATATGGACAACTCATCAATCTTTAATCTTTCAATCTTTTTTTAAAATAGGAATCTTCATTCATTCATTTTCTTTCTACATTGTCCCTTATTCACCAGGGGTCGCCACAGCTGAATGAACCACCAACTATTCCAGCATATGTTTTACACTAATGCCCTTCCAGCTGCAACCCAGTACTGGGAAAGGAAGAGGATTCTTTAAAACTATAATGAATTGGAAGGGTTGTTTTATTGTTGGGTCAAATATGGACAAAAAACCAGCAGCTGGGTTTAAAGATTTAAATAAAATTTTAATATAAATTAAAAAAATATTTAACAGAGTTTGTTTGTATTTGATCCAACTGGGGGTTGCAACAACCCAACATATTAATTTATTCATACATTTTCCTTCTGCTTAGTTCCTTATTTATCAGGGGTCGCCACAGCGGAATGAACCACCAACTATTCCAGCATATGTTTTACACAGTGAATGCCCTTCCAGCTGCAGCTTAGTACTGGGAAAGGAATAGGAATCTTTAAAACTTTTAAGTTGTTAATCAATTGCAAGGGTTGTTTTAACCCAACGTATGCACAAAAACAACAGCTGGGATAAAAGATTTAAAATACGATTTTAATATAGATGAAAAAAACTATTTAACAAAGTGTTTTGTCCGTATTTGACCCAACTCTGGATTGCAACAACCCAATATATTCATTCATTTTCTTTCTGCTTAGTCCCTTATTTATCAAAGGTCGCCACAGCAGAATGAACCACCAACCATCCCAACATATGTTTTACGCAGCGGATGCACTTCCAGCTGCAACCCAGTACTGGGAAAAGAATAGGAATCTTTAAAATCTAAAGTTGTTAATCAATTGGAAGGGTTGTTTTAACCCAACGTATGCACAAAAACAACAGCTGGGTTACAAGATTTTAAATATGATTTTAATATGATTGAAAAAACATATCAGAGTGTTTTGTCTGAATTTGACCCAACTCTGGGTTGCAACAACCCAATATATTCATTCATATATTCATTTTCTTTCTGCATTGTACTTAATTTATCAGTAGTTCCCACAGCGGAATGAACCACCAACTATTCCAACAAATGTTTTACACAGCGGATGCCCTTCCAGCTGCAACCCAGTACTGGGAGAAGAATAGGAATCTTTAAAAATCTAAAGTTGTTAATCAATTGAAAGGGTTTTTTTAACCCAACGTTGGGTCAAATATTGACAAAAATAACAGCTGGGTTAAAAGATTTTAAATATAAGTTAAATATAATTGAAAAAACATAATTTAACAGAGTGGTTTGTCTGTATTTGACCCATTTCTGGGTTGCAACAACCCAGTATATTCATTCATTCATTCATTCATTCATTTTCTTTCTGCTTTGTCCCTTATTTATAAGGGTCGCCAAAGCGGAATGAACTGCCAACTATTCCAGCATATGTTTTACACGATTACAACAAATGCCCTTCCAGCTGCAACCCAGTACTGGGAAAGGAATAGGGATCTTTAAAACTCTTAAGTTGCTAATAAATTGGAAGGGTTGTTTTAACCCAACGTTGGTTCAAATATGGACAAAAACAACAGAATTAAACTAATTAAATATAATTGAAAAAACCATTTAACAGAGTGGTTTGTCTGTATTTGACCCAACTCTAGGTTGCAACAACCCAATATATTCATTCATTCATTTTTCTTTGGCTTAGTCTCTATTTCAGAGGTCACCACAGCAGAATGAACCACCAACTATTCCAGCATACGTTTTATGCAGCTGCAACCCAGTACTGGGAAAAACCCAAATACACTCCTTCACACACACTCATACACTATGGTCAGTTTAGTTCCCCTATAGCGCATGTGTTTGTACTGTGGGGGAAACAGGAGCACCGGTTTCTTCATCTGTAATTAGAAATTGTGCATGTTTAAGAGGTTTTCAAATGCATGTTTCACATTGGATTTGCAATGCTGACCAACAGAAAGTGACTTTGACTTGTGACTTTGAATTCCAAGAAATCAGCCGATCTGCTAATGTGACGGATTGAGAGGTAAGAATGGAGATCCAGCTGTGCCTGCGCTTCAGCAGACAGAAGACGGCGGTAAATATTTGATGATTCAGCAGCGGTTTGCCTGAAGGCATGGCAGAGATGAAGGATCCTAAGTCCTGTTTATGAGTGAACAATTAAATCTCTGATCACTCAAAAACAACATGCATCCTCACTGAGCTTGAGCAGTTCTATAGGAAATGGAGGATTATTGCAGTAGCAGAACTTTAATAAGATATTTGCCAAAGATGCATATGCTATATAGGGATGCGATAAAGGATTAACGCATATCAATTCAGAATTAAGTCATCAGTAAATCCAGCTTTATTTGTGTCGAGAGCTCACACTAGATTAAACCCACAGTGTTTTGATCTAAATATGTGAATTATGTTTATGTGCAAGCTGGAATTTAGCATTAGGCAATTGTGAATAAATCAGTGTTTCCATCCAATGAGAAACAAAAGAGAAGAAAACTAGTTTTTTTATGAATCTTGAATATATTTTAGTCATGTAGAAGAGCAAGAAAGGAGTTTATCTGGACTCTGACCTGTAGCAGTTGTTGTTGTAACTGTTGTAGCTGCCGAGAGCCGTTAAACAACCCAGACATATAGCATATGAGAAGAAGATCTGCGTGCCGGCATCCACCCACACCTGCAACAAATAATAACACACACATAACTCACATTACACCATTCAACCCAGGTATATTCTGAATATGTACCCCTGTATACATTTCTGGAGAGTGCCAAATACATCCCAGGAGGTACATATATATGCAGTTTTTGCAAATCCACCAGGGGCCGCTGTGTACGCTTTTTCAGATCTGAAATTTCTCTATCGAGTGCCATTCACCCCTGCTGTTCTTGCGTAAATCCACCAGAGGCCGCTGTCGACTGACTGACTTATCAATTAACCTAAGCTCCTCCTTCTCTAAACCCAACCAATAGTGTTTTTAAAAGCACTGATTGACCTGCCTACTGCCTTCCGTAAACCCAATCGACAGTGTTTTCAAAAGCAATCAAGACAAAGAAAAGCCCTTAAAATGCAGGATATACAGATTAAAAATAGTTTAGAGGCCCTCCAAAGAGGCAACCACTGTATTGGTTGTTAATTTAACATGCGCTCTTACTAAATCTAATTTACTCACATCTTAAATATGTCCTCTTTTCTTTTTAAATGTATATATTTTTTTAATTCATGCACTGTTCACTCATGAAATCTATAGGCAAATGCACACACTGCAAAAAAAATTTTTCTTGCTTAGATTTTTTGTCTTGTTTCTAGTCTAAATATCTAAAATTTCTTATATCAAGAAGCATTTTTAAGACAAGCAAAACATATTGCCTTGTTTTGAGAAATAATATGCCAATATTAAGTCAGTTTTCCCTTAAAAAAAAGCAAAATAATCTGCCAATGGGGTAAGCAAATTAATCTTGTTTTTTCTTTTGACATAAGATTATTTTGCTTACCCCATTGGCAGATTATTTTGCTTTTTTTAAGGAAAAACTGACTTAATATTGGCATATTATTTCTCAAAACAAGGCAATATGTTTTGCTTGTTTAGAAAATTCTTCTTGATTTAGGAACTTTTAGATATTTGGACTAGAAACAAGACAAAAAATCTAAGTAAGAAAAGCATTTTTTGCAGTGCAGCTTTAATTTTAAGCTAATTTATTGCATTTTTTTATTATTTTATTTAAAAAGTTCCTTATTATTGCCTTTTTAGCAACAAACTGTTATTAAGAAGAAACACCACTACACTCGCAAGCAGTTTAGAGCACTTTATCGTAAATCAAAGCACTTTTCGGTCCCACAAGTGACTTTAAAGGGAACTTCTTACGCAAAAATGAGTTCTATGAGGGGTTTAAACAGTTGTGTGGCAGCAGTGTGAACATCTCCAGCCTCTAATAGTAAACATGTATTAATTGTATTGTTTATACTTAAACTTGATAAAAACAGTCTGCAGAAACACTTTGATGGACATTCTCCCTTTGTACTTGTCATCAGATTGCGATAGCCACACTTACTAGTGCAATCTCTCCCTGATTAGCATAGGACGGTAGTCTTATAACTTATAACACACACCTGAAAGCACCAACAGCACCTACTTTCCTCGAAAAACTGATTGATTCTTATGCAGGAGTCTCTCACCTGCAATGGGCTACCATAGCGCTCGAACGCCCTGAATACAGTCATTCTGCCCCACAGAGAGCCAGAAGTGTAAAAATGTGGCCATAGGGGATCTACAAGGGTCGGTGGAAAAATAAACCAGCAGCTCTTTGAAACGCTCTCACATCACCATTGAGCCACTAATCTCCTTTACTGGAGAAACAATGGAGAACTCAGAGTATTTGCTTCCTCCAGGGGTAACCACAGCAACCCTTCTGACCTCACAAACACACAGCGAGAACATCCAGTCTACGTGCACGCTCATTTACATCCTTATTTTAACATTCGGCTTCGCTCCGTCACATTCTCTAAAAGCTGCTTATTGATGTTGTGGCTAATTTGGAGGTTTGTTTTGCCTTGTTTTAGCGAGGAAATTGGAGCGCTTTCATATTCAAATGACAATAATATTGAATAACACTTTATAATAAGGTTGTATTAGTTCATGTATTTACTAACAATGAGCAATACATTTATTACAGTATTTGTTCATGTTAGATAATGAGATCATTTATTGTTAGTTTCTGTTAACTTTCGGTGCATTAACCAAGGGCGTAGAATTGGCTAGGATGGAGGGGACGTGTCCTTACAGCCTGATCTGACGAGGAATTGCAAGAATTTTACGTTTTGACAGTTTAGTGGCTAATTCGTACAAATTCGTACGAGTTCAGACGTACGATTTTAAAAAGGAGGCGTGGCACCCAACCCCACCCCTAACCCCAACCGTCATTGAGTGATGAGCAAATCATACTAAATTTTATGAATTAGATCGTACGAATTCATACGAATCAGCCACTAAATCAAAAAGTTACGAATTGCCGTGAGATTGTGTTAGTCCCCACCAATATCTACCAATTACTGAAATGTCCCCACCAATAATTTAATCCAGTTCAAACTAAAATAATGCTCCGTCAACCCATGGTAACCTCCCGGCAGGCACACAACATCATAAGACGTTAATATTAGATTTAGGACATGATGTAAGGCGACCAAAATTCAATGTCTAGTCAGCGTCTTGGGACATTGTTATTTTTATGTTCAATAACGACGTCAAATTACGTTGGTATTTGGTTGATTTTAGGTTGTGTTGGAAAGTGAACAAAATCCAACGTCTAATAGACGTCATATTGGTAACGTCTACACAACGTCAAGGTGTAACATGATTAGACGTTGATGTTTGGTTAATTTTAGGTTGATTTTAGGTTGGACGTTCGACATTGATGTCGGCTTGGCGTTGAGTTTTGACATCAACATTCAAATCTAATGTCCTTACGATGCTTTTACGATCCAACGTCCTTACGGTGTACGTTAGGGTACAACATCAATATGACATCATGTTGACGTCTTGTGCCTGCAAGGCTACTTGTGCACAAAGGGTTAAAGTCAAGTTTGCTTGCTATGAGACTTTAACAGTGTCAAAATCTTGATGCTTCTGTGGGTTTTGTCAATCAAATCTGAGCTTTATTCTGCATTCTCTATTGAATTCGGCTCAGGTGATTGGCTGGGCCATTCTACAGCTTGATTTTGTTTCTCTGAAAGCACCTGAGAGTCTCCTCGGCTGTGTTTTGGATCAGTGTCTTGCTGAAATGGTTTGATCTTCATCCTCCTGCTGATGTAGATGTCGGACTGAATTAGATGATGTTCATTTACACTGAGGAAGGGCAGAGGCTTGCTGAAGAACTACTGAGAGATTTCAGCTGCTGTCTGGGCTTTCACTGCTGAACTACACCTCCCTTTCTTCATGTGTTCAGTTCTTTTTCCCTGCATCATTTCATTTTATTACACAGAACTTAATTTGTGAACTAATTAGATTTGTTTTCTTTGCATATTTGGATTTCATTGGTTGTTACCAACATCTGGGGAAAATGTCAAGCCCCTTTAGAAATATGTTTTCTGAGAAAAATGGTGACGTGTTCAATACTTATTTTCCCTGCTGTACATTAACTAATGAACGGTTATTGTAAAGTGTAACCAAATAACCTTTAAAAAAATACATATAATAATGATATAACATAATATCTTTAAATAAGACATAATATTTTGACACACTATTTACATATTTCGTGTGAGATATTGTCAATTATTAAGGGTCAATAATCACTTATCATTTTAACGATTGTAATCCTAGTTAATTAGTTACTTGATGAAGTTTTCTAAACTATAAACTCTGGTTTTATTGTGCGTATTATTGTGTAGCTTATGAGAATTTCAGTCTTTAATTTTAAAGATTTCATTTGTATTTATTTATTATTTTTTGGTAGTAAGTTCAGGTAGGTATGAAGCCCATGTTTACATGCTGATACAGTATATGTTAGACTTTTTATTGTAACAGCATTAAAACAGTAAAAAAAAAATCCATAAATAAGCATGTTGTAGCCATATTTTGTGATTCATGTATTTATTTGTGCATTCCCCCGCATTTATTTCTGCTTTTTAGTTGCATTATGGGATCTTGATCTTTCTTCCAACAACTTTTAACTCTTAAAATTAGTAAAAAATGACTTTTAATGTCATGTGTAATAGTAATAATAGTGTGCACAGCTATATTGTCTGGGTTGGTGTTGTATATTACACTACAGAAACCATGTAATAAACTTTAGCATGTTTCCTGCTATTTTACAGACTTATTTCTCTTGATGTTATTTCTTATATATTGTAGTATCTCAAACTACTAAAATGTCAGTAAAAGCCACTTTGTTAAACTTGAATTTTCAGAATCAACATCCCATAATGCAATTCACCACCGCAAATAAATAAAAAAAACACTTAAAATATGTAAACTGTTGAGATTTTTTTAACAGTGTAGTTGACTACATATTACAGAAAAAGCAAGCACTTGATACTTGTGTAGTTTTCCATGCGGTTTGAAGCTCTCTGGCACCGATTGCTGAACTGCGTGGTGAGATTGTAAAGGAAGTTGGTGAATAAAACAACGGTGCACAGAGAAAGTGAACAGACCTCTTATTGTGCGGCATGAAAGCTAATTAAACACTGGTGTCGGAGGCACCCCATTGCCAAACAGCAGCCCTTTATCACCCGCTGTCTTTCTCTGCGTCTCCTTTATGTCTTTCACTCTCTCAGGACATCGATAAACTTCACATACATTCCTGCAGTTCTGCTTTCTGTTCACTGGGATGATCAAACACTGATTTACACTCATCTCCATGGGTGGATGTCCTATAGTCCCAGTAAGTGACCCCAGTGTTCCTACATCTGGGACAGCCTGTGCTTTCAGTGCAACAGCAGAGTTACATATGGAAAACTATTTATTTATTTATTCATTCATTTATTCATTTTCTTTCAGCATAGTCTCTATTTAAGAGGTTGCCACAGTGGAATGAAGCACCAACTATTCCAGCAAACAGTCAAAAACACAAAGCTGACAGAATGAAAACAGCTAAAAGAGTATACACTAAGCTGTGCATTAGTCAGACACTAGATGGAGCCAAACAGTCAAAAACACAACAGAAACTAAAACAGCTGATGGAGTATACACTAACCTGCACATTATTCAGACACTAGATGGAGACAAACAGCCAAAAACACAACAGAAACTAAAACAGCTGATGGAGTATACACTAACCTGCACATTATTCAGACACTAGATGGAGACAAACCAGTCAAAAACACAACAGAGAAACTAAAACAGCTGATGGAGTATACACTAACCTGCGCATTATTCAGACACTAGATGGAGACAAACAGTCAAAAAAACACAAAGCTGACAAAAACTAAAACAGCTGATGGAGTATACACTAACCTGCGCATTATTCAGACACTAGATGGAGCCAAACAGTCAAAAACACAAAGCTGACAGACACTAAAACAGCTGATGGAGTATACACTAACCTGCGCATTATTCAGACACAAGATGGCGCCAAACAGTCAAAAACACAAAGCTGACAGAAACTAAAACAGCTGATGGAGTATACACTAACCTGTGCATTATTCAGATACTAGATGGCGCCAAACAGTCAAAAACACAAAGCAAACAGAAACTAAAACAGCTGATGGAGTATACACTAACCTGCGCATTATTCAGACACAAGATGGAGCCAAACAGTCAAAAACACAACAAAAACTAAAACAGCTGATGGAGTATACACTAACCTGCGCATTATTCAGACACTAGATGGAGACAAACAGTCATAAACACAACAGACACTAAAACAGCTGATGGAGTATACACTAACCTGCGCATTATTCAGACACTAGATGGAGACAAACAGTCAAAAACACAACAAAAACTAAAACAGCTGATGGAGTATACACTAACCTGTGCATTATTCAGACACTAGATGGAGCCAAACAGTCAAAAACACAACAGAGACTAAAACAGCTGATGGAGTATACACTAACCTGCACATTATTCAGACACTAGATGGAGACAAACAGTCAAAAACACAACAGAAACTAAAACAGCTGATGGAGTATACACTAACCTGCGCATTATTCAGACACTAGATGGAGACAAACAGTCATAAACACAACAGACACTAAAACAGCTGATGGAGTATACACTAACCTGTGCATTATTCAGATACTAGATGGAGACAAACAGTCAAAAACACAAAGCAAACAGACACTAAAACAGCTGATGGAGTATACACTAACCTGTGCATTATTCAGAGACTAGATGGAGACAAACAGTCAAAAACACAACAGACACTAAAACAGCTGATGGAGTATACACTAACCTGCGCATTAATCAGACACTAGATGGAGACAAACAGTCAAAAACACAAAGCTGACAGAAGCTAAACCGGCTGATGGAGTATACACTAACCTGCGCATTATTCAGACACTAGATGGAGACAAACAGTCATAAACACAACAGAAACTAAAACAGCTGATGGAGTATACACTAACCTGCGCATTATTCAGACACTAGATGGAGCCAAACAGTCAAAAACACAACAAAAACTAAAACAGCTGATGGAGTATACACTAACCTGCGCATTATTCAGACACTAGATGGAGACAAACAGTCAAAAACACAACAGACACTAAAACAGCTGATGGAGTATACACTAACCTGCGCATTATTCAGACACTAGATGGAGAGAAACAGTCAAAAACACAACAGACACTAAAACAGCTGATGGAGTATACACTAACCTGCACATTATTCAGACACTAGATGGAGACAAACAGTCAAAAACACAACAGACACTAAAACAGCTGATGGAGTATACACTAACCTGCGCATTATTCAGACACTAGATGGAGACAAACAGTCAAAAACACAACAGAAACTAAAACAGCTGATGGAGTATACACTAACCTGCGCATTATTCAGACACTAGATGGAGAGAAACAGTCAAAAACACAACAGACACTAAAACAGCTGATGGAGTATACACTAACCTGCGCATTATTCAGACACTAGATGGAGACAAACAGTCAAAAACACAAAGCAAACAGACACTAAAACAGCTGATGGAGTATACACTAACCTGCGCATTATTCAGACACTAGATGGAGACAAACAGTCAAAAACACAACAGAAACTAAAACAGCTGATGGAGTATACACTAACCTGCGCATTATTCAGACACTAGATGGAGAGAAACAGTCAAAAACACAAAGCTGACAGAAGCTAAACCGGCTGATGGAGTATATACTAACCTGCGCATTATTCAGACACTAGATGGCGCCAAACAGTCATAAACACAACAGACACTAAAACAGCTGATGGAGTATACACTAACCTGCACATTATTCAGATACAAGATGGAGACAATCGGACAAACACACAAAGCTGACAGAAACTAAAACAGCTGATGGAGTATACACTAACCTGCGCATTATTCAGACACTAGATGGAGCCAGACAGTTAAAAATGCAAAGCTGACAGAAGCTAAAACAGCTGAATGGAGCATTTACTAATCATAAACCAACCACTAACTATACAGTACATTAGTAAGTCATGTCTGGCCAATCAAAATGCAGACAGCCATGTAATAAGCCACAATAAAAATGACCTGCTTTTTTTTTACGAATTAACTAATAATCCAGGCTCATCCGGGTGCTGAATTACCTAAACATTTTAGGAGGAACACTTTTGTACTTTTTAAGTTCTAATACATATTATTTGTTTGTACCTGAGGGTCTGATAGACGAGAGATATCGGGATACAGGTAGAACTTTATTCCATTAGCAGCTCCAGGCAGCGTGATTCCTCGTAGAAGAAGGATCAACAGCATGAAATACGGAAAGGTCGCAGTGACGTACACCACCTGCAGGGGGAACAATGTTCACATTTCACTGCATATAAACATTCGGATCTTATACACTCAGTCTATCCGAGCCACTCATTCAGTCAACTATACATTTACCAACAATAAACGCTATAAATTCTGTAGGTCTGTAAAGAGAGGGCTCTGAGCTCAGGAAGACACCCTAACTTGTGTTATTCCCCTTATCAGGATAGAGAGAGATAGGGTTCGAGCATAGTGTCTAGCCTGGCTCCAGAACACTCCCCCCTAACATTTAATTGGGTATCGGGTTTAATAGTGTGGAGTTGGGGTGGTGGAGGGATGCTGAAGTCAAGAGAAACTATTTAAAGGGGTTTGCTCTTAAGCTGGTTGGATAATAGAATAATTGTGTGTGATGAATTAGCCTTGTCAAAGACTGATCGTGCTCCTCCCGAAATTTGTTTATAAAACATCACTAAAAGAGGTCATGTTTTGATTTTCGATTGGTCTCACGCAGTCATTCATTCATTTTCTTGTCGGCTTTGTCCCTTTATTAATCCGGGGTCGCCACAGCGGAATGAACCACCAACTAATCCAGCAAGTTTTTACACCGCGGATGCCCTTACAGCCACAACCCATCTCTGGAAAGCATCCACACACATATTCACACATGCACTCATACACTACGGACAATTTAGCCTACCCAATTCACCTGTACCGCATGCCTTTGGACTGTGGGGGAAACCGGAGCACCCGGAGGAAACCCACGCGAACGCAGGGAGAACATGCAAACTCCACACAGAAACGCCAACTGAGCCGAGGCTTGAAACTAGCGACCTAGCATCCTTCTTACACTGCGCCACTGCTTCACCCGTCTCACGCAGTAACGTGATGCAACTTCGCTGGTCAGAGTCTGTCGCATGTATGAATGGAAGTCTATAAGGCGAAAGGTAAAGTGTGACCGCGACTTTAGATTAACTAATTAACTATGATTTTAGCTTAAGTATTAAGTAGGATTAGGAATGTAGAATAAGTGTACTTTATAAGTGATAATATACAGTCAATTTTCTAATAATAGGAAAGTAACAAGCAGTGGTTAATAGTGGAAATGGGCTGTATTCATTTTGAAAAACCCCACTCTGGTGCATCTGGTAAACCGTCATGCCATTATAAACTCACCACGTCTAAGAACTTGTTTTCTTAAAATTAATGATCAATACTTGGGGTGCGTTTCTGAAAATCATTGTTAGCTAAATAAAGTTGCAGGTTCTGTCGTTATAAACATATTTAATTGATTTCCCAAATCCCCAGTTCCAACGAACATTTGCAAAGTGCATCGCAAACTTGTACATTTGCAATGACACCTCTAGAGCTGTAGGTAGAAGCATAGCTCCTGGTTGTGTTCTATTCCCAGCTACCCCTATGCCCTATTCATTTAGAATGTTCCAACATTTAAACTTGGAATGATTTAAAAAAAAACATTAAAGTCATCTCTCTTAGGTGTAGGTTGCTACAAATTACAATTTTGCTAATTTGCTAAGAATTTTTTACAGTTCAGTTTTATCGATCGTCATATTGACAATCGCGTTCCCTTCGCAGTGCACTCTGAAATCATTTATGCCATTTTAAACACAGGCGCAGCTCATGACGAAAGTGACCTATTATTTAAAAGTGGAATTTATGTTACGTCTCCAAAGCTTCACTATGATGACGATTGTCATTTTCCATCGCAATGTTTCACATTAGACCCCGTACGATTCCCAATTGGTCGGCATCACCTAACCCTACTGTATAGTATGCTAAAATCAGTATGCGAGCCGAGTAGTATGTCTGAATCCATAGAATAAAAAATAAAATAACGTGAGTGAGAAGTACCCGGAAGACCTACTACTATTCTGAAGTGCACATTGCATTGACGCTATGCTATCCCATGATGCACTGTGAGAGAATTCATGAATGCGAGTCAAGCGACGCAACTGATGAGGTTAGATACTGATGATGACAAAATGGCAGATATAGTACGTCCGGGTTGACTGACATTCTGTATAGAGAATTCAGCCTTGGCGTGCATATAGCCCATTGGTACTTAATTAAAGTGTCACTCAGAATTTTGTCTATTTTTAAATATTTCTCGACAATTAATTGGTTGAACAGTGTGTGATGGGCTATCATGAGTAGATCTTACTAGTATACATTTAAAAGGAAGGGTTTGAGCACACGAGAGAGTGAGTGAATGAAGCAGTGCTTAAAGTGAAGGGGCTACAGAAGGCTCTGGGTGTCTGCCAGAGAGGGCAGGTTTCTCCCAAAGCCTTAATTGGACACCAATTGAAAGAGTTACTCTCAGGGGGAGGAAGAGATGCAGGTCTGAGCCAGAGGTTTTGATGAAGAAAACACTCGACAGTCCAACAACCGCACATCAAAAAGACAAAAATAGAATAGTCAGGGCACCATCATGTTGTGGGTTGTCAACATGATGTTCACTGGCTTGAATTATTACCAAGTCTCAAGGAAAGAGTGTAAGATCTTTGTCTCGTAAGGCACACAGAGGCTCGAATCCTCTGACAATGTTAGAAGATCACTGCGTGATTCTTCTCCACTATACATCCAATTCCAAAAACCTAAAACGCTTTTGCATTCACGGTCCACTGAAATGAGTTCAACATTTTGAAGCTCTTTCAGTCCCGCGAACAAAACCACCCTTGGGGGGGCGGCACTAGGTTCTTGCTCCTCTGGCATCCAGTCAAGACCATACGAGGACAAGACAGGGTTTGGACACAAAAGCTTCTACTCTGTTTCCCTCTAGAAGGATCCCAACTGGGTTGTGTTGGCAGTGTGGGAAAATGTGTGGCACGGAAACGTACAATCACTTCAATCTGACCTGGGTAATTTACTGTACCAAATGACAACAAACACGTCTTCGCAACAAATGCGTGGTGAATAAAAATGTTTTACACTAAACATTGCAAGAATCGATGTAAATCTCACATTTAGTCATTTCAAGAGTTCACACTCAGCTGATGATTGATAATAAAGCTTGTTTGGCATGCTGTCCTGGGAGAGAGCCCTGAGCTCATAAGATCCTCGAGCCCAGGGCTCCCTCCTGTTTGCATGGCGAGAGGGGAGTTTGAGCTCAGGTAGATGTGGAGAACTCCCCTGCTGTAGTAGCTAAGGAACAGATAGTGATTGCTTTTAAGAGATAACTATTACTAGGAGCATGTCTATGGTGCCGTTTTGGATTAGTCAATTAACCTAAGCTGCATGTATATGGACGGAGGGAAGAAACCGGGGAACCCAGAGGAAACCCATGTGAGCACGGGGAGAATGTGTAAACTCTACACAGAAACGTCAGCTGGCTTGGTAAGGAATAGAACCAGTGACTATTCGTAAGGCGACAGGGCTAACCACTGGGCCACCGTGCCACCCATCTAGGAAAGGAGGAGGAGTAGAGGTGGAAGGGGGGATTCTTCAAAATGAAGATGGCTGTGATATGGAACTCAGGGTATTTAAAGTGGCTTAGGAATCGTCTGATTGGTGAATCATGAATTGAATAATGCAGGACCTGCCGCAAGCAATCACAAGCATGTGATCATCTCGAAATTAGTTTATAAATAAACTTCACTTAGCAGATGCTTGTGTCCAAAGTGACCTATATTAATATATATACTATATTAGGTATTAAGCAACTCAATATGAAGAGCCAATACATGGTACTTAAACAAAGAAACTGATATTGCCTGTAGAAATAGGAGCTAGAGAGGTTAGAGTCAGAAGGGGAATTATGCAAATTTTGCCAGTTAATGCTGAAAAAGGTTATGCTGCAGTACACTGCCCAGAAGTGTTCAGTACGCTGATTTCACACTCCCTTCAGCCGTAGTTATTGAATGGATATAAGCAGCATTCACACCAGAAGCAGAAAGTTCTGCGCTATGAAACCCATTGCACCATGCGAAAGCCTGTTTGCTGCTGTGTCGACCAAAGTATTGATGAAGCAATGAACCCATACTTATCAATGCATGAAACGCACATGCTCACAGTGAAACCAAAGTCCACTCAAATAGCACACTGACAAGATATTTCTAAGTAGTATACTTGTTCCTGCTGCTTGCAGTAGTGATAATGTGCTGTCATGGCAATGCTATTAGAAAAAAATTACACCTCTCAACGTGTTTTTTAAAGTCAGTACTATCTTAATGAATGAGTTAAATATAAAAACTCCCACAAAATTATAATATTCATTAAAATAATAAGTTATTATTAGAAATATCCAGAAATATCCGCATCCAGAATTTTCATTTCAGTGCAACCCCAGAGTTTTCAGTTGCCATTTGAATGATAGCAGAGATTGACCAGTCTGCGGGGATTCTGAAGATCATTCCACCGCTGAGGAACAGTGAATGAATAGGTTCTGGAAAGTAATACAGAGCTCTAAATCTTGGTTAACATAGCTTAAAAACATCCGATGGGATGACAGAAATCAAGCATGTTAAGCTGAGATCTGTAAACTGCCATTTGATTGATATCAGAGATTCAGCAGTCTCAGGGAATCGGGAAGATCATTCCACCGTTGAGCAACAGTGAATGAATAGGTTCTGGAAAGTAATATATAGAGCCTCTCTAAATCGTGGTTAACATCACTAAACAAAATAATCCGCTGGGATAACACAAATCAAGCATGTTAAGCTGAGATCTGTAAGAGTGAGCTCTTCGTCAAAGGAGATCCTTTAATCCGAATGCACCTCACAGTGTGAGCAAGCCAAAGCCAGTCCAGCTCACTGATTCACAGCCTTTTCAATTAGTCTTATAAAATGATTACATATCCATATCCAAAAACCCATGGCCACTGCAGTAAGGGAATCCCCTGCTAGGCTTTCAGCTGCATGCGTGTGGTTTTTCTCAATGAATGGCGCAATGTTTCAACTCGCCGTGAGACTCTGACGCACGCTGACTTTCTCCCAACTCTCCCCAGTCCAACATTTAAGCCCCGCATTCACAGGTCAACCCCATGCCATAAATCTACCGCTGGCTTATGGGAGAATCGCAAACAGCCACAAAAGGCCTGCGGTGAACAGCTTAGCAAATGTCCTGAATGCTGCAATCTGTATAGTGGTCAAAGGAGAGGAAGAAAGCAGTTTGCTCTCCGCCAGACATAATTCCTGACAGAAGGGAAGAGGCGAGCGGGGGAACTCTGCATGCTCCTCATGAACGCTCCACTTTCCCCCTGTGAATACAGAAATCAATCTTGGACAGGCTGCTAAAGCCTTGCCATGAAGGAGCATTCTTTCCCCTTGCTTCACGGCCAAACAAAAGCCACTTCAGGAGATATAGGCCTTGCTGCCGAGCTTTTCTCCGGGACCTGTACAATGTGAACCCATTTATTTTTCCCTGCACATCCCTCTTCCTTTCTTCCCACTTTCTTTCTGGCTCATTGAGTCTGTTAGACTTTCTTAAAGGCTGCTCGAAGAATAGAATCCAGAGGAAGGCTAGTGACTGAGCTGCAGAGATTGGCAGAGGGACACAGGCCCTCATAATGCAACGGATTGTGGGTACAAGGCGAAGGCAGAGGAAGGCCAGAGCTGCATTTTGCGGTCCAGACACAGGGATAATGCAAACTGTTTGTTTTCCAAAGGCACTTTTTCAAAGTAGGTTGGTTCGAGTTTACCAATAAACCATTTGGTTATTGTGGGGATGCACCTACGTTTCCGTTTGGTTTCTGGACGTCTGCCGAACTCTCCTCAATGGGCTTTTGGATGCCTGCCTGTCTGATATGCGAGTTGGCACTTTTGACTGCTGACGTTCTCTCAATCCACCTCCCAAGTGATTGAAATCTTTACACAGAGAATATTTGCAGATGACCGGATCCACAATGTCACCGCACATCCTATGTGTGTGTTCGACGTGTCAAAGTTGCGCTGATGACATCATTCGCAAGGATGGAATGTAAGTCTCACTCGCCCGATTGATTCTGTGCTGAATTGACCATTCATTCCAGTCTCTCATTGAGACATCTCCAACTCTCATTCTTTGGTTAACATCTAGACACATTCAGCACCGTTTCTGCTCACTGGACCTTTTGTTTTTACCTTTCCCGTTGATTTGGGACCCTTCCAAATGCAGAAATAACATATGACCCAGGCTATAGCGAGACAAAGGGCGAGTTCCCAGCGAAGGCCGCCGACTTCTTCAATTCCAGAGGATATTTTGAGAACACGGCGTCTAGAAGAAGACACATTCTGACATTAGCGATCAATCAACAAAATTCAAGTCAATTAAAATAATTCAGCAATTCTCAATCCTGGTCCCCGCAACACCCCGCTCTGCACATTTAACACGTTAAGATAACCAGCTCATTGGAAGCGACCTCCATGAAGGAAAGATTTACATGTTCCCTACATGGTGTTCACTGCTCTCAACTCCCTGGCCCCTGACCATGGGAAACCAGCTGAACCTAAAGTTTACTTGCATATACCTGTTATATTGCTTGTTTACTAAAGGTAAGCCAAGTCTTGCACAAAGTTTAGGTCCAAAATTAAAGCGAGGCAAATCTCTCATCAGCGTGTTAATATAGAAAATCAACGGAAACTTTCAGTGCAGTTTAGCAGTTTATTAAGTCAGCTGAATATATGGAAAACAAATGGGAAACTATTTTAATGGCAAATGATAGGGGAATAAAGTGGTAAAATATAGTAGAATCCTGGTAAAACCATGAGGGATGACAGGTATGTGTTTGAAGCATCCTAAGACTAAACTAATTGAGAGGGGTGTCTAACCACCGTCATGCATAAAAGTTAGTTCTTGCACACTTTAATGGAGTTAACTTGTTAACAAAGGATTGACAGCGGAACCACACCTCACTTTGTCTCCTTAACCAATACCCTACTCCCTAACACTTATTAGGGCAGACCAGCCTTTTAGCACTGTTGTTCTCATTCTCTCGAACCCACCCTCCCTCTCTCTATTTCCTTGCTTTCCATTAACAATCCTTATAACCCTTTCTTCCCTCCCAGATTAAATCGGAGGGTTCATTCACTCTACAAAAATATTAAAGACGGAACCCCCACTCTGATTATCAGTCTTTGTAGGACGCCCGATTAACCTACCTACCTGTTCACTGTTTATCCGCTTACTTCCCTTTATCCCACTGTTCTCTTACCATCCCTTTCATCCCTACATCCCTACGATAAAGTGTAGGTCAAAGTGTGACGTGGTCCATGCTGGTGAGGTACCCTTAAAGTTGAACACACTTCCTTCACACTGGAATCATGGCAGAATATCATGTGAAGTGTAGGCATTTACCGTTGAATTGAACAAACATCTGAAGCAGAAAGAAGAACATATATGACTCACAAAGTGGAAGGCGGGGGTGGGTGGGGAGCATACATGAGGACCAGGATTGAGAACTACAATACAAGTTTGATTTGAGCAGGGATTGTTTGGACTTAATTAGACTAGGAACCTAGCTAACACTGAATTTTGATTTTCCAACAACCTCAATCTGTTGACTACAAGTCTATAAGTACAGTACATGTGCACTTATTTTACTAATCATAACCCTGAACTTTTAACACTACAATGACAGTCAGTTGATACATTTGCAAAACATAATGTCTGAAGGGGGCCATCAAAATGAAACCCATCCTCACAAAGAGCACAATGTTTGGACTAAATTGCACTAGCTAAAACCTGATTTTGATTTTCCCAAAACTTATTGACTATAAGTAGAGTACATGTTAACTTATTCCACTAATTCTAACCATAACTATCTAACACTATGACGATAGTTAGTGTAACCAAAACCAAAAGCGCACGATGGTTGCTCAACAATGATCTCCATTAAAATTCTGAGAGGCTCTGACTTCCAGCAGACTATTTGTCTCAACTTTTAGGTGGTCTGAAGTTTTGTTTTATATTGACTTCTGGTGATGCAATGGACTGTCACAGGCCCTCATAACGCAATAGATTGTGGGTACAAGGCCAGAGCTGTATTTTGCTGTCCAGACACAGGGATAATGCAAACTGTTTGTTCTCCAAAGACACGCAAGAATCATGTGAGCAGAGTTTGAACTAAATTGCTAGCTAACTAGCTAACACTTCATTTTGATTTTCCTAAATTTATTGACTATTCGTAAAGTAAACTATATGTACATGTAAACCTATTCTACTAATCCTAACCCTGTCTATAGCTGATGTAACCAAAACCAAAAGTGCACAATGGTTGCTCAACAATGGTCTCCATCAAAATTCTGAGAGACTCTGACTTCCAGGAGACTATTTGTCCCAACTATTTGTCTCAACTTTTAGGTGGTCTGAAGTTTTGTTTAACATTGACCGCTTGATGACGCATTGAAGTGCAAGATGGCAAAAGGAAAGTCGTGATTCTGTTTCTCGCACTGCCATTTATCATCTTTGACATGTTCTTGGGTGAAATCCACCGCCTAAGCCATGCCCCCTTTGAGCAAACCTTCGCCATTCTTTGAGAACTGTCTGACCGCTAGCACTTGACTGCTTCCTCTGTATTTGGCCATGAATATGAAACTCTGTGAAATAAGCACGCTTTCTGTGGCCAAATTTGTGTCCATACCATTCCTAGCTGTGCGAGTGCCCTTTTGATGCTTGTTGACAACGGCATTGCAAAAAGAATGACAAATTATCAGAGAAAAAGGTTATGGATTTCCATGGACCGTAAACAGTGGTCAATTGCTCTGCGCATAATCTGTGCCAGAAGTAGCCTGGAAAGCCAGTGTGTCCCTGCGCATATTAATTTCTCCAATGGTGATCCCAGAGTCTGCCTGCCAAATATTGATGTTCCCAGAAAGACGGACAATATTATGCATGTGTGAACAGTCTGAATTATTATACTCACTCCCAAAACTCCATGACTGGTGATGTGGAATATGGGTTGGTGAAGTTGGCAATGCTTTCATTGTTAAAATCCACACAGTTTTCTAGAAAGCGGGTGTTAAAAACATTTCGTCAGTTTTTCGTTCATGCATTTAAACGTTTGGTCACACTTTATTTTAAGGTACTATTTTCACTATTAACAAATCAATAACTACCACTTTTAGCTCAGCAAATGTGCTGCTTATTAATAGTTATTAAGGTAATAGTCATCGGGTGGGATTAGGGATACAGAAAAATCATAGATACTAATAAAAAGCCAACATCCTAATAATAGGCAGATAATGAACCACCAGTTAAAAGTGAGAACTGGAACTTAAACTAAAGTGTTAACCAAAAGTGGTTGGTTCTTAATAAGCATTTTTGAATGCTCAAATGCACCAACCTGTGTTCCAATAGTGGCCACATGAAGCCCAGGGCAGCTCTGTTGTAAAGCAGTTGAACAGGTAGAAAATAGCCCACGCCAATATTACCACATAATACACATTCAAGTGTGCTTCAATGACTTGGGTCGCATATCCAATGCCTGTAAGACGACACATAAACAATACAATTGGAACGTATGCATTTTGCATCCTCATTCACTGCATATGCATGTTTAGCACAACAAATGAGCATGCAGGTGTGATCAAATACCCAGCTAGCAAAGAATTCTGGCCCAAATTTGGCATAAAGCTGGCACAGCAGGCATTCATCCGGCACTGGCATACAGCATGGGTTTGGCAGAGATGCCACCGTCTTCAAGGACGCACATAATACTTGGGCCAGATATTAAATGTAGTATTTGGCCCAGATGCTAATAATGGATTTGTGGGCCATGCAAATTTGACCCACATTTAAAATACATCTTTATTATTTTTGAATAAAGGGGAAAGAAATCTACAATCAGGTCGATTCGAGAAAAAGCACACCCACAGAGCACATAAAAGGCAATGCTTCATGGGTTTATCAATTCCCTTGCAGTCTTGACACATCAACATATCTGGCCCAGTTCTGGCCCAATTATGGGTTGTTAACTTGGGCCAGATATGGTCCATGTTTGGCTCTTGTCTGGAAGCCAGTCTTGGTCCAGTCATGTACCGTAGTTCACTGCGGCATGTAGGCCAAGTAACAGCTGGTTGTGTGGGCCAGACCTGGGCCAGAGATATTTTGCTATGTGGGTAGGCTCTTAAAATAAGCTACAGTGGACTAGGTCTTACCTTCAAACAGTGGGCAGACTTTTCTCCAACACGTGATGCCTCCTTCACTGGTGAACTGACCTAATGCTGTTTCCAGGAAGAAGACTGGGATCCCACAGCAGACGAAGAAGATGACGTACGGCACAAAGAAAGCACCTAAAACACACACATAAAGTTACAACTCTCAGATATACCCAACAGTAGAGTGTGTAATTTAAATATAATTGAAAATAAAATATTCCAGCATTGGCCAAATTTGACCCAACACTGAGCTGTGACATGACAGCATTTTACAGTGTAGCCTGACCCAACATCCAAAATAATCAGAAGAGAGTCCTAAAACTTGATCATGTTATTGTCTAACTCAAACTAATAATAGGTACATCCTAAAAATGCCGGGTTGTCGTAACCCAATTTTGGGTCAAATATGGACAAACCCAACCCTTGAGATAAAAAAAGAGTCATTTAAATGTAGTTTTACAAATAAACCCAACATTGGGTTTGTGCATTGGGTTACAGCAGTTTGTGCATTAGAGTGTAGCCTGACCCAACAAACCAAAGAATCAGTGTGATTATTTTATTGTCTAACTCGAACTAACGATAAGTACGCCCTACAATGCTGGCTTGTTGTAACCCCAATTAAAAATGTGGGTTGGTCATATTTGACCCAGCATTGGGTTATGGCTAGCCAATAACAGAATACTAGAATAGATTCCTCTCTAAAAATGCTAGGTTGTAGTGTACCCAATGTTGAAACATTGATATATATATATATATATATATATATATGTTTCCAATTAAATTTAAATTACACCTACACTGTTTTGCCCATATTTGACCCAACATTGAGTTATGACACGACAGCACTTTTAGAGTGTAGCCTGACCCAACAACCAAAACAAAATCATAAAGCCTGATTATTTTATTGTCTAACTCAAACTAATAATAGGTACATCCTAAAAATGCTGGGTTGTCGTAACCCAATTTTGGGTCAAATATGGACAAACCCAACCATTGAGATAAAAAAAGAGTCATTTAAATGTAGTTTTACAAATTAACCCAACATTGGGTTTGTGCATTGGGTTACAGCAGTTTGTGCATTAGAGTGTAGCCTGACCCAACAAACCAAAGAATCAGTGTGTGTGTGTGTGTGTGTGTTAACAAGAAAACCATAAATCCTGATTATTTTATTGTCTAACTCGAACTAACGATAAGTACGCCCTACAATGCTGGCTTGTTGTAACCCAAATAAAATTTGGGTTGGTCATATTTGACCCAGC